GAGGGGGGGGGGGGGGCAAAGCAAAAATAAAAATAGAGCAGGGAAAACAGAAAAAAAATTCGTGCACCAGAAATGTTTGAAAAAAAATTCATGCAGAGACTTTTCAATATGGAAAATTATAAGTTGACAGGGCCTATCAGAGGTACAGTGTAAGGAAAGTAAAAGAAAAATAATTTTGAACCTTTTTTATATATGTAACGGTGTGAGAAAAATTTTTCTAAACGTAATTGGTGCATAGAGGATGTTAGACGGCGTATATAGAGGATGTTAGACGGCGGTGTACTACAATACTTCATGTGAACTCGTCATATGCGCATCGCTGTTTTTTTACAAAGAAACGCCTGGGTATGGAGACAGGGTGTAGTATGCGATAGCAGACTGATCAGCACTGCCTTATTCTCGTACCCAGAGCCTTTTTTACGCTCCTCCTCCTCTGAGATTAGTCTGCTGTTTCTCCACAGCTCCAGTGGGGGAGGGGGGCCGGGGGGGAGGGCGGCGGCTGAGTCAGTCTGCTACCGCAGACTAATGGCGGTGCGAAGATATAAATTTTAATTTTTGAGTGAGTGAAAAATATTGTTTTCAGTTTTCATCACGAGAAGATAAATAATAAGATATGAAACTTCAAGCCACCGTGTATTTAATGTTCTTTTTATTATATAGTCGTTTTAATAGTAAAAATAACAAAGAAAATGAACACTTAATCGATATCTTCACTAGTGGAGATCTAGTTATGGAAAATATCTCGCTGTGTATTTTTTGGCACTGTCTACTATATAATAAATTAGGGTACTCCTAGTAAATTAGAAAAATCTACATCGAAAAATTTATATTTTCCTATCATGTTCATGCAACTTACTACCGTCTTCTTTTATAACAACTTATTTGGTATTTAAAGAAACCAACATTATAATTACCTGACTTCGCTCAGTTGTAGTTACACGAATTTCTCCTTCATCATTTGAACCACAATTTTGTTTTGCCGCTTGCCAGACCAGAAACACAAGGAAATATGTTCACCATAGCACATGATCTCGAAATCAGTACGAACTGATTCTCCGGTCTCTGTAACAATCAGAAGTGATTTCTGCATTACATTTCTGCATTTGTCGCACCTTTGTGGGCAATACTCATAGTATCGATTTATATCTTGATGGGTTACTGCTGGACTACATTGAATTTCTTCCGTTTCACGTTCCTAGTAACACAATAGTCAAAATGTTATTCAATAAACCTTCGGATTGATAGGGATTCGTCGCTCGAAATGTCGAAGTTCTTTTCGCCTTCATACACTCAGAGTAACATCACAAACATCATATTCACCTGAGTACATAACACCAACACAGAAAATAACTCCATATATATATATATATATATATATATATATATATATATATATATATATATATATATATATATATATATATATATATATATATATAGTTTTCCGTTTTATCATATATTACGCTCAAATACAATAGAGGATGTTAGACGGCGTATATAGAGGATGTTAGACGGCGGTGTACTTCAATACTTCATGTGAACTCGTCATATGCGCATCGCTGTTTTTTTACAAAGAAACGCCTGGGTATGGAGGAGACAGGGTGTAGTATGCGATAGCAGACTGATCAGCACTGCCTTATTCTCGTACCCAGAGCCTTTTTTACGCTCCTCCTCCTCTGAGATTAGTCTGCTGTTTCTCCACAGCTCCAGTGGGGGAGGGGGGCCGGGGGGG